CACTACAGCCCAACACCCAGACGCTTCCATGCTCCGTTTTGGTACTTGCTTATTCTTCAACCTGAAGCAAGCTTTCTAGCACACCACTCTAGCTTTCCAGGATACATGTTAAAAAAAAAAAAAAAAAAAGCCCACATTTAGCCTCTCTCAGATCAGTGCCTGTGTAATTTACAGGAGTAACAGGTTAGATTGACCTAGCTATAAATGAGAAAGATATGTCACAGCTGGACATCTTAACCAGTCTGGAAGCCTTTGCCAAGCTTCTCCAGGCTTTTGAAGCACAACCTATGATTTTCAACAGCGTTTCTACCTTTTTTCTCCTAACAGTGAAAGAGAAACAACGTGCCTGCTCTTTCTGCTACTATGCATCGGAGGGGCAGCCCTGCCTCCTCACTTCAATCTGAGAAAATGTTGTCTCCCTTTTGGCAAAGCTATTTCCAGAGCCTATTGAGTAGTTCATTCAAGTCTAGACTTTCTAATTTTGCAGCATAATCTATAGTTCAGTCACCCATGAAACCGCTGACCAGCCTGCAATTGTGCTCAAATCCATGCCATGGCTGGTGCTGTCTGAGCTCAGGTACGCTCATTAGTGATGGCACACAGCACTTTAATGGGAGGCTCGTTAAACCTGCCAGGAGCATTTGCCGGAAAAATACAACTCTTCCTCTACTCCCCCTTAAATAGGTTAATTAATATCATCATCCCAGCTTCGACTCCAGAAAGTGACAAAAGCAGGGACACTGGGGAGGAGACAGGTACGGCCTGGGAAGTGATCCGCTGGAAGGGAACCCTTGCCTCCCTTCATCCATTTAACTGGCCCTGCCTGGTGTGGGGCCATGCTCCCGCCCTATCCCCCCATGCTCAGGCAGCAGCAGATCTCCCAAAAGAAAAGCAGACAAGACCAGAGGGCACATCCCACTGACAACAGCACACCTGGTCTTCTCCAGAGGGAAGGTGGACGGCTTCCCTTGCAGAGGGCTCAGATGCTGGCACTGGCACGGCTTGGGCAGCAGCACGTGAGAGGAGAGGGGGAACTCCTGCCCTCAGCCATGAGACCTCTTGCATCAGCTCCCACCAGCTCGTGAAGGCGAGCCCTAAGGAAGGGCCCCGCGCCGAGTCAGCCGCACCATCTGCCCTTCTGCAGAAGCACACAGGAAAAGGCTGCCCCGTGGTCATGGCCGAGGCAATGCCCCAGCGAGACTAACGTGACCCAGAACCGACACCCTCCCCACCCTTGCGATAATCAGATCTGCTCTCTCCCATGACTTCCACATTTGCCGAGCGTACTTTGTCCCGCATGAGTTGCGACCGGCGAGCAGAGCTATTTGCAGCAAGAGCGGCACACCTCGCCTGCTGTACGAGTCCGCAGACGCCAGCTGAGGCATTACTCAGGCAAATGTGTCCCTGCTCAGGGCTCCCACACCTCTTCCCCTCCCTCTCGGCCTGTCCAAAGGAAAACTCCTCACAGGACTGGCTTAGGGCTTTCCACCCCGATGGGTAAACTCGAACCTCCTCTCCTTCAGCTGGGCAGCAGGCTACGGCACCGTGCATCCAGCCGTGCCGAGCCAGCCGGTGCAGGATGCCTGTGCTTCCCCCTTGGACATGCACGTGACAACAAACAAACTGGAACAAAAGGCACCCTCAGAAAAAAATGGCTTTTGCCCTGCTTTCTCTTAAGCAACCTGCCCTCCTCCGGTCCCCAGTTTACACTCTTTCCTACATTTAACTGCTGGGACGGCAATACATCCCCTTCCAACCACTGCAGCCAGAGTGTTCCTTAGCATCCCTCCGCCATCTCTCTTTCCAGGAGATTTTGCCTCCAGTCTCAGCACCCTCCTCCAACAAGGGGTGGCCCATTTCCACAGAAATCTGCTCAGAAAACATAGCAGGGGACCCAACCAGCATATCGCAGCAGGCAGCTCCAGCTCTGTGCATCAGATGACTGCCGAGCACGGCGTATCGGGAGCCGCTTCGCCGTCCTGGGGAGAGCTTCCCGAGGACCTTGCCGGTGCCTCACCACACAAGACATGTGCCAGCTGCTCCAGAGCACAGGAACCCACTGAAGGTCAGCACCCAGCATGAAATCACTTCTGGAAGACAGTAGAAGCTCCCCCCTCCATATCATCATGAAGCAAAAGCCTTTCAAAGCTGCATGTGTTTGTTCAGTGGAAAAGGATTAACTGCCTTTCATTCTCCTAGATGGTGCAATGACCAGCAGCACCTGGGAGGAGAAAGCCCCAGGTTCATTTCTCCTCTGCATCCCTCCTTCGCAGCAAGCACCATCACCCACACAAAGCCTGTCTCTTCCTGCAGGTTCACTAGAAATTTCACCTGAAACACCTTTTCCCACAAAACTACAGCAGCGGCAGGAAAACTTTTCAGTTAAACAAATCAACATCCAAAAGTGGTTTCTTTAGACAAGTCCCAAGAAGCTCCAGGCAAGAAGCTGTACTTGGAGGCCCCAAGAAGCCAGCTCACTACAACACTGAGGAAAGCCTGAAGAGAAGCACCGGCAGCTCAGGCTCAGTGCTGCCCCTCCACAGAAGTCAAGGCTCATCCCGGGGCTCACTCCGCACCTTAGGGCAGACAGGTAGGAAAACAGGGCTAGGCTGTTAAGAAGAGTGTGGTTTGAATGGTGAGGGCAACTCGACCTTGGCAGCTCTGCCTTTTGAAGGCAGCACTTCGGTGCTCTTCCCACTCCCAAAGCATCCAGGACTGTTATTTACAATTTCCCTTAGGCAGGCCATAAATCCAAGCACAACTAGCAAGCTCAACACAGTGTAAAAGGATCCCTGTGGCAGGCTAATTACCTTTGCAGGCTACGCAAGCCTATACAGTTTGCTTCTGCACAGTAGCTTTGAAAATTTTGGCTAATGACTGTGTCTAGCAGACCAAACTTTCCACTTTCTATTGTTCTGCTCAGGGCAGCCAGCTGGGAATTCAGGGGCAACAAACCTCCAGGGGAAGAAATCAAGGCCATTAAGAGAAAGGGAAGAGGGGCTGTGAAACAGAAGATGACTCCACAAAGGAGTGCTATGGCATGCTACGGACTCCAGCAGAAAGGGAAAGAGAGTAAATCTAAATTGAGAGGAAGCCTAACATATTATGAGTACTAAAATCAAAACCACCACCACAAACAAAAAACCCTGTTATTCCCATTCTCTTAAGACTTTAGGGATTAATCCTCTCCCACTACTCTATACCAAGATGACAACTTTTTTTTTTTTTTTAAATGAAAGTATTTAATACAGAAAAATCCACTCCCCTACCTCTCCAGTCAGAAGGTCAGAAGATTTACCAGAGGTGCAGGTGCTGCATCTTCCACATTTTCTTACTTCCACAGAAGTACACTGATGTTCAGGCTGCAGCTAATTTCACACATATCTTTCCTAACGCCTACCAACTCTATTCATGCATTGTCTATCCAGACAGCAGTGGTTATAGCAAACACTTGAATTGAGGAGGGGAGTGGGGGGTGAAAATCAGACTCAAATCCTTGCTCTGGATCAAGCAGAGCATGAACGAACCAGGATCTCCCATTGCTGAATGAAAGCCTTGGCTGGCAAGCTATTGTCTGATCTAAGGTGACACATGCACTCTCTCGCTCTGGTCTCAAAATGTCCATAATGGAACTTTTACTTAGATGGCATTTCCCCACGAAAATCTTCAGTTGCAATGACTGTCTTAAAAAAAACCCAAACCACCAACCAAGAAAAAATAAATGCTGCACTGGGCTGTGAAAAATCCCAACAAGCCTAATTTCCAGCTGAATGTCATACTGGTAATGGCTGAAGCCCCCTCCCACAGGAACCACACACGTTAAAACACTTCCCAATAAAAGTTTGATGTCTTCAGTGGTAGTTTTGGGTTTTGGTGAAAAGTTCTCACTAGAGCTTACATAACCAAAGGCAAGAGAAGAAAAAAAAAAAAACCAAACCAAAACTATCTTGGGTACCACATCAGCTATAACAAAGTAGTGCAACTCTTGTATACTCTAGTCAGGCTTCTTTCCCCTTGGCGCAGACTGAAAACAAAACAAAAACTGTGGAACTTAACGCTACGAAACACTCCATGCAGAGTAAGGATATTGTGCTAAGTCTTGATGGGTTAGATACCACCTACAATAAGAAGTAAATAAAAATTTATAAATTTCTGTACAGCAACTTCCAGAATATAGTTAGATAATACTTTTCCAGAGCCATAATAGGGAGAAATTTCGTGTTTTCCACAGTTGGTGCGGTACTACCTGTTAATTACAAACAGCCAAGGAAGCAGAAGCAGACAGAGCTCTCTGGACCATATCCAATGGACACAGATTAGGCTGGTGACATCACACATGTACTCTCTGAAAGCAAGGCCTCCGAAAGGGGTTTTCAAATATTTTGCAAGTTTACCAGTCACTCCAGTATGAGCATGCAGATATTTCTTACAAGCTTTCCCTCAAGTTTCTCTCAGTTATCTTCCCCCACCATGAAACAGACAAAAACAACAAAAAAACCCCAACAACAAAATATTGATAAAAGGACTTCGGGCTGCTCTTCTCACATATCTTTTCTGTACTTTACAATCCTGAGGCAGGGACACAGGATCTCTTGCTACAAGTAACAGAGGAATTTCTGAAAAAGTGCCAGAATACATACTGCTACAGACACAGCAAAAGTGGGGAGCCTCCTACTGAGCTCAATAGTGCAAGGTGAAATCAACTCCCATTACACATTATGGCTACAACACAGATGACTTCTAGGTTTAAATAACAATAAGCAAACCCAAACCACCTTGTAACTCTTAAAATGAGCTCTCAAACGGCTTCACAGACTGCTCTGGAGCAACCTAAAGAGACAGCTGCAAAATCCCTACCTCTTTACCAAAACTCAGGCTAAAGCTTTTTCAGTCCATATGATTCTGGTTGGATCTGTTTGGATGAAAGCGCGAAGCCAGAGAACAGCAAACCACGTACTCAATATAAGACACATTTGGATAGGTGATGAAGGCATACTCACGCAGTGCGTACAGGGAGAGGACTATTCCAGCCAGGCAAAACCCCTCAAAAAACCTGAGTGTGCTGAACATGGTCACGTTCACTGAGAGCGCCACAGTCAGTCCAAATATCAAAATGAATATGACAGAGAAGAGCAGTACAGGCCGTCGACCAACCCTAAAAATAAGGAAGTATGGAGAAACAGTGTTAAAAGCCAGGATGGACATAACGCTAGATCGTTATAACTGGCAAAGAGGGGAACAAGTCATGCAATCCCTTCCAAATATTGCCACCCATTTTTAATACTTGTTCCAATCTCATTTTTTTCTGCTTACTGAAACCCAGATTCCTCAGCCAGCTTTGCATTGACAAATTCATTTCAGACAGGATTAAGTAGAAACAGCACATTGTATTATGGCTTGATTTAACCATCATTTCCAAAACACCAAAGATGAACAAGGAAACATCTAAGAACTATTGTAAGGTCATAAACAAGTCCAATGGAGATCAAAAGCAACTTCTCTGAGCTTTCTGTAGAAGCACGGGAGAATGTACTGTATTATATGTTATATGGCATGGTATATTATTATTTCTCTATACTCTAGAGCCACAGAGCTTACTGCGGAGGTCTTTTCCCAACAGACATGCGCTCTTCAGCCTGCAAGAGGAGCTGGCTCTAAAAACTACTTTTCTTGGCCTCATTCTTGAGGGCAAGCCTAACAAACACAGACCGAGCACCAAACAGGGCTCGTGTCACTTCACTGAGCCTTAGAGAGCCGATAGTAATGCTCACAGGAAAACTGTGAGCTCCAAGTCCCTCCACCTTGTATCCCCACAGCAGCTGCAGAGACGTGCAAAACCAGCCCAATTGGAAGGTGAGGAAGAAACCACTCCAGAAATTATCACTGGCAACAGGGGCGTGAGAATTTGCAGTCCTCCTTTGCAGGCAGGCTTTACAGCTGCAACCTGTAGTTGCACATGTTGGTGCAGCACTGCTGAGGAAGAAGAGTTACACTGCCACCAAATGTGGGGGCACTTGCTGCAGAGTTTGGCTTTTTCATGTCAAAGGAACATGAGATTTTTACATCTCTTACTCATATGCTTAGTGTTTATAATTCCCCTTTCCCCACCTCTTCCTGTGCAAGGAGAATGATACGAAGCACCAGAGCACACCACTATTTTTAAGCAAGAATTGGATCATTATGTGGAGATTTCCAAAATTTTTCAACTTGTCAACTCCCACAAGTTTTCCAGTGGAACTGAGGATCCCTTTTAGTCAGCTCCATATGCCATTTCCACAAAGAATATATGAACTTGCTTTTTGTAGGCAGCTTTCACAGACCCATTCAAAGCAGTCTGTCAGCTGCAAGCCAGCCATCAGGTTGAATGTCAGCACAATAAAGAGCATTTAAATCTCACAACTAGTCCAGTTTCACATGCTGAATTGTTTCTACTCAATTATTTCAGCAGATTGTTACCAGCAGCTATAAAGTATATTACATATATGCATTTACAATTACAACTTTGGATTTTGCTTTACTTAAAATGGAACAAGATCAATAAAATAAGGAGTGAAGGGCTGAAAAGGAGACATTGTTATAATTTTTTGTATTTTGGGGAACTGGAAGATTGTACCAGTATGTGTCATCATTCATGCTTTTTCAAAGTCACACCTAAGAAGGCAATGTCATTGCTCCTTGCATGAGGACAGGTTGACTGTTTATTTCAGCTGTAGCTTCATGTGTTGGTGTTTTGGCTTTGTGTGGCAAGGTTTTGGTAGCTGGGGGGGGGTGGGGTGGTGTTACAGGGGTGGCTTCTGCAAGAAGCTGCTGGAAGCTTCCCCTGTGTCTGACAGAGCCAACACCAGCCAGCTCTAAGACAGACCCGCCGCTGGCCAAGGCCAAGCCCATCAGTGATGGTGGCAGCACCTCTGGGATAACGTATTTAAGAAGGGGAAAAAAGTTGCTGGGACAGACAGAAACAGCAGCTGGAGAGGAGTGAGAACATGTGAGAGAAACAACCCTGCAGGCCCCCAGGTCAGTGCAGAAGGAGGAGGAGGAGGTGCTCCAGGTGCTGGAGCAGAGATTCCCCTGCAGCCCGTGGGGAAGACCATGGTGAGGCAGGCTGTCCCCCTGCAGCCCAGGGAGGTCCACGGTGGAGCAGATCTCCACCTGCAGCCCGGGAGGACCCCACACCAGAGCAGGGGGATGCCCGAAGGAGGCTGTGACCCCGTGGGAAGCCCGTGCTGGAGCAGGCTCCTGGCAGGACCTGCGGATCTGTGGACAGAGGAGCCCACGGAGCAGGTTTTCTGGCAGGACTTGTGATCCCGTGGGGGACCCACGCTGGAGCAGTCTGTGCCTGAAGGACTGCAGCCCATGGAAGGGACTCACGCTGGAGCAGTTCGTGAAGAACTGCAGCCTGTGGGAAGGACCCGTGTTGGAGAAGTTTGTGAAGGACTGTCTCCCGTGGGAGGGACCCCACGCTGGAGCAAGGGAAGCGTGTGAGGAGTCCTGCCCCTGAGGAGGATGAAGCAGCAGAAATAACGTGTGACAAACTGACTGTAAACCCCATTCATCATCCCCCTGTGCTGCTGGAGGGGGGGTAGGTAGAGAATCCGGGAGTGAAGTTGTGCCTGGGAAGAAGGAAGGGGTGGAGGGAAGGTGTTCTGAGATTTGGGTTTATTTCTCATTACCCTACTCTGGTTGATTGATAATAAATTAATTTTCCCCAAGTTGAGCCTGTTTTGTCTGTGACAGTAATTGGCAAGTGATCTCCTGTCCTTATCTCAACCCATGAGCCCTTTGTTAAATTTTCTCTCCCCTGTCCAGCTGAGGAGGGGGGAGTGATAGAACGGCTTTGGTGGGCACCTGGTGCCAAGCCAGGGTCAACCCACCACAGGGGCACCTCAAAAATTTAACTTGTTGGCATTAAGCATTCAGTGGTTTTAAAACAGAACATACCAATGTGCAAACTAAAGACAGCAAGGTCAAAGCAGACTGCTCTCAATCAGCATACAAACCCAGCCCACCAGAAGATGAGCTGCTGTTGTGCTGAGGGTGGGAACAAAACATCACTGCCTCGGTGATATGCAATGCACTGGGAACATGCTGGACACTGGGGCAGCTACTGCCATGTGTACTTCAGATTTTATATTTATGGAACACAAAGCACTTGGTCAGGGAGGGGAAGTGTCTCATACAAAACCCTGAATACAGAAAAAAAACAACTATGAACTTTGTGTTATCAGCGATCTGCGCAGACTTTTGCAGCCCTATTTTCGTAATCGCCAAGCTGTAATTCATACTAATTAGTATTTGTGGAAGTGTTTTGTAGATGAAAGGCATTATGCAAACACTCAGAATTAGGAACTTAATTCTCATCACAAGCCTGACCTGCCATTCCCTGATGTTGATTAAAAAAGACCTCATGCTTAACATACTTCAGTTCTCTTCTTCCCCTCCTCCCACCCTCTGTACTCGAGGTTATCCATCATAGGACACAGAATTTCTTCTGCCATTGTACAAGTTATGCAAATGAATGATTGCTGCTAATGAAGAATCAGGAAATTCAAGACCCTCCTGGGCCTGTAAAAGCCAACCGAGGCCAGATAAGCCCTCTGGTGAGAGGCATCACCAGCACCTCCTCCCAGACACAAAACTAGTCTCCTTCTGCATCAAGACATGCAGCACACTCCTCAAAAATCAAAGCTCCAGGGCAGCTATCAGCCATATATTTGGTGATCCAGCAGTGTTTTGACAGGATGGTGTCTCAGAGCATAAAAAAAAGCCTTTTATATGTAGACAGAATTATCTGACTAACAGTACATGGAAACGCTTGTGAGAAATTAAACCATACACAACCTCTCTGGTAAAACAGCCCCAGGATGCTATCTGCTGCCATCCAAACTATTCCAGAGGGAGCCTTCTGTGCCACAAAAGTCTCAGCCTACGCTGCATACTATTATCCAGATCAAATGCTAAATGCTGCCTGCACAGGTAAATAACTAGGGATACAAGCAACCCCAGGCTTTTGAAGAGTCTGCAATCCACACAGTGTGATACGCAGATGCGTCAAAAAGATATTCCTAACATTGTCAGAGTTGCACCACAGGGGAAGCGTGAATGGTCTGAGGACAAGACCTGCTCTTCCCATGCTCCTATACATGTACCTTGCCACCCTGAGAAGACTAAGCTTTGCTTTTGCAGTCAACCGAATTGCTCTTCCCATGCCGTTCTTTGCAGGTTTTCTCTCAGTTTTGGGACTTGAATCAGCACAAAGGCTCCAAAAAGCACCAGAGCAGGTGCAGATCAGGGGCAGTACTGGGCAATGAGAGGCAGAGACCTACTGTCTTGATGCTACACGAACACCAAGCCCACCTGCTCCAGAAAGAAGCCTTCCACAGAGACCTCAATAGCCTCTGTCCAGAGCAGACTAAACTGCCAGCAGCACTCTGCCTGTTGAACAAGTGACTTATTCAGGCGTTGGACACAGTTGGTCTTCATACTGCCAAAGATGTTTACAGACCTTCTTCCTATAGATTTTCCACACAGAGCTATCCCAGCATGCACACCAACTGTATTTTGAACACAGAGTGCTCAGTTTACTCAGCAAACAACCTTAATACACTCTACGCCTTTGCCACATACAACTTTAAAAGCCTTCTTTCAAAAAGGAAAAGCAAAGCCCCAAATCCTAATGGTACAAAAACCCCCAAAGTATCTTCCAATTATCTAAACTGAAGAGTGGAATATATGAAAACAGATTTTGAAAGTTTGTACTGTTTGGTCTCCCCTCCTCTTCCTTGGGACTGATATCCTATTTTTCTTCTTTTTCCCTTTTTACAGGTACAACCCCCTTTGTATCCATCTCTCCACACAACCCCCTGCCTTAGTGGAAACTCAAGTTGTGATTAAATAGCAAAGTAAATCCCATTTAGGTCATCTTTCACCAGCCCCATATGCTACTGCTAAGTGACAAAGACTATCCAGTGCAGGTCCCCTGCTGGGTCCGTTACATCAGATGGCAAGGATGGGGACCAAACTGGAGCACGAGGACCAGCTTTGGTGGCAGCAAACTACGTCCTTTCTGGTCACCCAGGGAAGGGCAAGGGGGTCCCTGTTTCCTCCAGCCACCAAGTTACCCTTTTTCT